AAAAAAAAAAAAAAAAGAGGGGGTGCGTATTTATTATTTCAGGTTACTGAAAAGTCCAGATGTATCAAGTAAGGCTTGATCCAAGGGTTTAAATGATAATCACCAAGACTGGGTTTCTTTCTCTCAGCTCTCTCCTTCTTGTGAGCTCCATTTTCCAGTCCAATGTAAAGGCAAGGGTGCCAGACTCCCATGTTTATTTCCTGTCAGATTGAAGTTCAGCAGAAGCAAGATCTTGTTTCTTACTTGTAGTTCCAAGGTCTTAATTGAACCTACTTGGATCATGCAACCAAACCTGAACCAACTCCTGAGGATGGGTGTTTGCATGGGCCACATCTGCGTCAGTCACTGTGACCGGGGGGATTCAGTGCTCTGACTGACAAAGACTGGGTCAAATGTGTACTTTGGAGGTGGGGTAGAACCTCTGCAGAAGCATGAGGTGGGATTCTATGCAGAAGGTGGTAGTTCTTAAATAAAATTAGAGTGTTCTTCCCAGAAGCTGGAACGGATGCAACAGCTAGAGAGAAAATATCCGCTGCGGCTGTAGTTGCCACACTCTAGAATCCATGAGTAGCAATGATTGGCTGCTGCATTTCTGCTGATAGAGAATGAGTTTTTTACAGAGTCCAGCAGTGAGATAGGCCAGCTGTGGAGATAGGGCGAGTTGACCGCTACTTGGAGGTACCCTAACAACCACCGTAAATAGAAAACAATCCATCAGCACTGTGTAGATGAAACAGAAAACCTCTGAGGCTGTGTTTTTCAAACAGTTTCACCTCAACCAGCAGTAAGCGATCCCTTTTTACATTGCAATCCATATGTCCTTATATGTGCATATATACAGAATTAACTAACAGCAGTTTCATATTTCTGTTCTGTTTTATTATACCCTTAGAACCCTACTGTTTGTAGCCCACTGAATTGTTGTCTTGCACTAATAGGTCTTAAAGGAACCCGGGCAGTATAGTGGGTTATGAGTTGGGCTGCTAACTTTAAGGTCAGCAGTTTGAATCTACCATCTGCTCCACAGGATAAAGATGAGACTTCTCCTGTAAAATGGCTTGACCCAGGCCATTGTGTTTTCAATAGCCTCATATGGATGCGAAAGCTGGACATTGAATAAGGAGGATCGTAGAAGAATTGATGCCTTTGAGTTGTGGTGTTGGAGGAGAATACTGAGGGTGCCATGGACTGCCAAAAGAACCAATAGATCTGTTTTGGAAGAAGTGCAGCCAGAGTGCTCCTTGGAGGCCAGGATGGCTAGGCTTCGTCTCTCCTACTTTGGACATGTAGTCCGGAGGAAACAATCATTGGAGAAGGATGTCATGTTGGGTAGGGTGGAGGGTCAGAGAAAAAGAGGAAGACCCCCAATGAGATGGATCAGCCAGGTGGCATCATTGATGGACTCGGGGGTGGCAGCGGTGGTGAGGTTGGCCCAGGATTGAGCATTGTTTCATTCTGCTGTGCATGGGGTCGCTATGAGTCGGTTCCGACTCGATGGCATCTGACGACAACAACGACAACAAAGATTCACGGTCTTGGAAGCCCTATACAGGGTCACTATGAGTCAGAACCCAACCACTACCACCAAGAAAATCCTCTTCTAAAGGCAGCTGTTCTTAACATGCCAGCCCTAATTGGATGAGGCTCAAAGCTGGCATTTGAATCTGGATTTTCAATGACAATAGTAGCATGAGTCAAAAAATGGTGTGGCGCTGTGGGTTAATGTACCAGACTGCAAAGCTGTTTGAACTGCAAGGTTGGTGGTTCTAGCTCACCAGCTGCTCTTTGGAAACCCTACACAGGGTCACTATGGGTCAGGATCAACTCGACAGCACACAACAACAACAACAACAACAAAGATTCACAGCCCTGGAAACCCTATACAAGGTCACTATGCATTCAAACACCACCACCAATGGGTCTCAAATTGCAGTTAAAAAAAAATCCTCTTCTAAAGGCAGGCATCCTTAAGCATGCTGGCCCTAGTTGCATGAGGCTCAAAGATGGCACTTGAATCTGCCTCTTCCACGGCAGTGGTGGTATGTGTCAAAAAATGAGAAAGCAAACCGATTTTGTTGTCAGAGTTTCTGGATCAAAATGGAGACTGCTGTCTGTTGGAGTGGCTCCTGGCTTGTTGGGTGGAGTGGTCTGCTTTGCAAGCCTGAGAGGCAGTGTTGGAGCTTTACTAGCCATGGGATGGAGACACACTGAGGATGTCCTGGCAGTCTGTTTGTCCTGAAGCTGGCAGCAGCTCCTTCTGTGCCAGCAGTGGTTTATGTTGTGAGGTTGAGTGTCTAGGTATGTGTGTGTGTATGCATGTGTTTTCTGCCAGGTCTTTATATTGAAGATGAGGGAGTGGCTTTAAAAAATAACATATTTTTAAATTTGAAACAAGTCAAGGCAGAGAGTGGAGACAATTAGAGACTGACATCCTGTTTAGTCATCTCTCCTGAGAGCTCTATTTTCAGAACTCATGTTCTGTAAAGAATCTCAAGTGGTGTTAAGATAACTAAGGGGGATTGTTACGTTAGCAGGAGTCGTGACACAAATGCGTGATTTGAGCACTGGGGCGATTTAGAGTGTGGCAGCTGAGTTGGGAACAGATTTTAAACAGAGAAAGAGAAGGTTGTAAGATTTTTTTGAATGGGTATGAAACAGGGATCTTTTATTTTGAAAACAAGGTGTAGTGTTAAAATTAAATACAGCTATATATGGCCATGACCTGGTGTAAGGTCAATTCCATTTTTATGGAGGGAAGAGAGGGTCTTTGTTTACCTATAAATGGCACCATTAAGGTTCTTTGAGAATAACGATGTCATAGGCTCTCGCAAACACTGGACTCCTAACCACAAGATCAGCAGTTCAAACCCACCAGCCACTCCTTGGAAATCCTATGAGTTGGAACCGACTCAATGGCGCTTCATACCAGCAACAAGGCTTTCAGATGGAGCCTCTGGGTGGTACATATGGCTCACACCCTTGGTGGCTTACTGAAAGGTTGGAAGTTCAAGTTTGCCCAGAGGTACATCAGAATAAAGGCCTGGCAATCTATTTCTGAAAATCGGCCATTAAAAATGTTATGGAGCACAGTTCTACTCGACAGCAGCTGATTTCAGGCTTTCCATGGAAAATAGAGTTGAGGTAGATGAAGGACCTTGCCCAGGGTCCAGGGCCAGAAGTGACAAGAGTCAGATAAGAGTTCATGTCTTTGATGAGTGTTCTTTCTGCCATACAATATGCTGTATAACTTATTTGTATTTAATATTATACCAAAAATGACCTTTCATATTGATAAGTCAGCTTCTCTTTACCATTCTTTTAGATGATCAAAGGTAGAAATAGCCATTTGCTGAATCTGACAAGGTTTATCTAATGGCAAATTGTAAATTCAAGCACTTGGTTCCAAAAGAACCTCTCAGCCCAAGATGAATAAGTTAACATCCAGCATGAGGAGGGCAGAGCCTGGCCGTCTGGCTCTTGGAGAGCAGAGCACACCTGAATGGCACCATCCCACCTGGCGGCCATGCAGTGTGAGGGTCTCTGGGAAATTGGAGTGTGTGCAGAGGATGGGCTCTCAATGGGGGAAGACAGCTTCAAGCTGCCTTGGTTGTAGATTGGATGTCTTCATGTTGCAGGCCAGACATAAAAACTTTAAGGGGCATTGATGTTCTTTCTCATAGGCAAGAAGAGGTACAGTACCCAAACCTCCTTCCCTGGTGCTTCCTAAGATGAACTAGATGGTGGGAATGAGATTAAACAGAAACAGCTCTTTACTTTTTGTACTGTTTCTTGATACAACAAAAGATGTGCAGTTGACAGACCATTACTCCTTTATTTTTTCTGTTTCATATACTTGTCATGGGGTTTTGTAAAATGCTACTATTGTAACTGTTATATGGAAACTGGGAAAGTCTCAGAAAAAATTACCGGAAGTTTATGGGTGCTTCTTTGTATCATAAGAAGGCATAACAGAAAGACAATAAAAATTTCAAGAAGAAGGAATCTGTGAAAGGACTTAGTTTCTTTGAGATTTGTGTCCCCAACGTTTACAACTCTGAGATTCCACTTGTTCTCTTGTCCCTCTACTGTTAATGAAAGTCTTAGATCTGATTGATTCCTCACCATGCTTTGTACATTTTGGCCTCTATAAAGAGTTGAGATCCACAAAAAGTACTTTAAAATGAAAATAAACAAACTTTCTCTCTCTCTCTCTCTCTGTCTTTCTAGGTGGATCTGGAGCCAGAGGGAAAAGTATTTGTGGTAATAACCCTAACAGGGAGTTTCACTGAAGGTAAGAATAACTTTTGTGGGTACATGTGCAATCTAATTTCAGATTCAGTAGGAATTGTCTGTCACAGAAATGATTAAAAAAAGGGCATTTTGTAAAAGAGTTTTTTTTTAGTTCAATGTCTTAAGTTACTTAGGTTGGTATTGTCTTGCTTAATGGTTGGATTGTCAGATTAAATATATTTGCTAAACCTGACAACCTCTGGTGTTTTGTTTAATGTACTCACTGAATTTGTATTCAGATTATCTTGTTACTATTGTTAGCAAATTTTATTCAACATCATCTTGGTGTTGTTAGGTGCTGTTGAGTCAGTTTTGACTCACAGTGACACCATGTGACAGAGTCGAAATGCTCCACAGGATTTTCTGGACTGCAATGTTTGCTATATGCCATGGAGTCGGTTCCAACTCATAGCGACCCTGTATAGGGTTTCCGAGGCTGCATATCTTTACTGGAGCAGAAAGCCTAGTTTTTCTCCCGCGGAACAGCTGGTAGTTCCAAACTGCTGACCTGAAGGTTCGCAGCCCGATTTGTAACCACTACGCTACCAGTGCTCCTTGGACAGCAGTGTTTAGGGGGCAGCAAATTACCAGGCTTTTATCCTGTGGAGCCACTCTGTGGGTTCAAACGGCCAACCTTTTGGTTTGCAGCTAAGTGTTACCTCACCACAGCTCCTATCATCATCTTAGCTGAACTAGTAAGACTTTCTTGCCTCTGTTGGTTTATGCCTATTAAATGTTATTTTAGATGTTTTTTGTATTTTTGTGCTATCCTTTTAGTTTGCTGTTGAAATTGTATGACAACATTTTAGGGATCATGTTCTCTTCTTTACAGCCTGTATCTCATTTTTATTCTTTAATGGATTCTGTTTCACTTCCCCGGATACCACCATCCCATCATTTTGTTGTTGTTGCTGTTATTGAGATAAAATTCATAACAGCAAAAAGAACATTTCATATACAAAAAAAAGTTAAGAAAAATGCATGTGTCCTTGTATTAAAATTACTACATAAACATTCTTATACATAGATTTTTGTGGGCATATATTAGGAATGGAATTGCTTACTAGTAGAGTAGGTATGTATTGAAGTTTATAAGAAATTCCCAAGTGGTCTTCCAAGTTGATTGTATTATATACACTCTTACCAGCAATGCTTGAAAATTCCAAGTTATTCTGCATCTTCACCAATAAATGGTATGATCATTCCTTTTCGTTGTAGGCATTCTAGTGGATGTGAAACCACAACAAGGATGATCTCTTGTGATTTTAATTTGCAATTCCTTGGTGTTGAGCACTTTTCCATTTAGGTGTTGGTCATTTGGATTTGTTTAAAAATAAGTGCTTATTGAAGGATTTTTTTTCCACCAGTTTTTTCTCAAAGATGTTTGTCTTTTTATTATTTATTTGTGGAAGTTCTTTATATTTTCTGTGCATGGGTCCTTTGCCAGATATATCCATTTCTCCTAGTCTGTGGCTTGCCTATCCATTTGAAAAGCAGGTTTTCATTTCTATTTTTATTAATCTATTTTATTTATTTGTTGTCATTGTTGTTGTTGTTATGTGCCATGGAGTCGGTTCCGACTCATAGCGACCCTGTACAGGGTTTCCGAGGCTGTAAATCTTTATGGGGGCAGAAAGCCTCATCTTTCTCCTGCGGAACAGCTGGTAGTTTCGAACTGATGACCCTGACGTTAGTAGCCCAATTCGTAACCACTACGCATTTATTAGTCTACTTTATTAATCATTTCATGATTTGTGTATTTTGTGCTCTCTTTAAAACATTTTTCTCTATCATGGGGTGATGAAGGATATTCTCTTGTCCTTTTTTTTTTTTTTTTTTAGTTTATAAGGTTAGTGTCTATACTTAGGCCTATGTTCCTGTTTAAATTTGTATTTGTTTGTGATGGAAGAATTGAGATTTTTCTCTCTACAGTAATCCAGTTGTCCCAGCACCATTTGTTGTAAAAAATCAAACCCTTGCTCTCAAGTGGATTTGGACTCAATGTAATCACACAGGACTGAGTAGAACTCCCCAACAGGGATCCCAGGATTTTGATAGCAGACTCTCACATCTTTGTCCCATAAAGAAGCTGGCAGCTTCAAACTGCAAGCCTTTTGGTTAGCCACTGAATGCTTAAGCACTGTACCAACAGGGCTCCTGATTTGTTGCAAAGACCATCCTCTTGGGTCAAATATCAGTTGAACATATACTGTTGTTGCTAAAGTGCCGTCAAGTCGTTTTGACGCATAGTGACCCTGTATAAGGTTTCTGAGGTGTGGCTGGTGGGTTTGAACTATTAACCTTGTGGTTCGTGGTCCAGTTCTTGTCCTACAGCACCATCCCAGGACTCCAGGACATATATTGTGGTTGTTAAGTGCCGTCAAGTCGGTTCTGACTCATAAGAACACTGTACAGGATTTCTGAGAATCAACTGATGAGTTCAAACCACTGATCCTACATGGTTTAAACCAATCTTGTGGTCCAGTGCTTTATCCCACAGCATCACACCAGGACTTTGAGAACATACATTAGGGGCTTCAAAAAGATAATGAAAGATGAAATTAAAGGAAAATGGCATATTTCCATGAAGGTTTTTAACCTCCTTGTAAATGCATCTGTTCTATTCTACTGATCCGTTTTTCTGTCCTTAGACCAATATTGTATTGCCCTCACTGCTAGTGTTACAGTAAATCTGTAGTTTTATAGTACATCTTACACTTCACTCTGTGAGCGCTTCACCTTTGTTTTTGGTTGTTGTTTATTTAAGATCATTTTCCCTCCATGGTCCCCTGGAGGAATCCTGTCCTTATCTCTGATTCTACAACCCCAAAGCTTTTCTGTTTTTAAAGAAAAAAGGAGTTCCAATGGGGCTGTGGTCTGTGACATACAGGAATGGCATTAGGAGTTATGCCCAGTCCCTATTTCATTCTATTCCATATTCCCTTTGTGTGTGTGTGTGTTAATTCTGCTTAATTCTGCTGACTTAGAAGTTCATACAAAAACATTTCTCTCATGAGAAATACCTGCTAGGTGCAGACTTGTAATCCCAGTGTAGATGCCGAGAGATAAAGACAGATGCATCCTATGTGTGCAGTGCAGGTGACATGCCAGGTGACATGCAGGAATAGGTCTAAAGCATAGAATTGGCTCATGGAAGAGAAATCTAGAGAAATCTTCCTAGGGGAGGTGAACATTGGCAGCTTCAGAAAGCTAAAAGTGGCGTGACAGTGCCTGAGATAGGGGTGGTAGGACAGGGCCCTGTGTGCCGCTTTGCTTGGCACAGTCCCAGTTTGTCATACCAATGCCAATGATAACAGTGCCACCTTTTACTTTCAGAAGTGCTCTGAGACAGATGAGACACTATACAGTTTCACTACTTCTAGGAAAGTCAGCATGATGGATGCCAGCAAAAGATTTTAAGCAGAGAGAAAAACCTGACCTGATACTGGCAGTAGGTTCCAAGGTGGCCTTGTGTGTAGGTCATAAGAGAAAACCAATGTGCAGAGAGTCTTGAAGAGTTTATTAAAATCACCAACAGGTGAGATGATTAGGTGTTTGGGTTTGGAATCAGTGGGGATGGAGATCAGGGGAGAGTTTTCAGCGATGTATAGTACTCCTGGTGTGGAACTGAAGGATCGGCACTAGACTTTGAACCACAAGGTTGGCAGTTCAAATCCACCAGCTGCTTCTTGGAAACCCTATATAGGGTCATTATGAGTTGGAACAGACTTGAAGGCATTTAACAACAGCAGATAGTAAAATGAACAGGAGTTGGTAATTGATTGGATTTCAGGCATGAAGAAGAGGTAGTCTGCTGCTCAGGTGATGTTTGGACTTACCCGAATAGAAGCACAGGGGTTAGAAGATGATGAATGCAACTTCGAACAAACGGAGCTTGTAGTATATGTGAGACATCCAAGGAAAGATGTCTAGGAGGAGTTGGACTTATGAGTCTGGGGTTTGGCAAGAGGTTTGGACTGAAGATAAAATTCTTCTAAGTGGAAGACAGGCATGTGATGAAGGGGCCAATGAGAAGATTTAGAGAGAAAAAAAATCAAGGGTGGTCAACAACCTTGTAACATCAACATTTAGCGATTATGGTTCGTAGATTGGAATTTGTTAAATAACCCATGTTTTGTTGAAGGTTTACTTAGTAAATATTCATTTCATTACTGTATTCATTTTATGATGGTTACCAGCAGTGGGAGGGAAGGGGAAATTACTCATGGGGTAGACGGTAGACATGTTAACTTGGGTGATGAGGAAGGCAATATACAACGAGAGAAGTTGACATGGGAAAGAAGAAGGTAGTAGAAGATACTGGGAGGTGCAAGAGTTAAAGTGAATAGAGGTAAATACTGTTAACTGATGGTACGTGGAAGGGATTGCAATTATTGTAATGGCACAAAGTATATGATTTGTTGAATCTGGGATTGATGATCTGTTCTGTAAACCTTCACTAAATTCACAATAAAAAGTTTTATTAAGAAAATAATAATAATGTTTGAGTGCTTAATGTATGCCAAGTACTATTCCACCAAATGGCATAACATCATCCAAATTGGCATAAAAGTGTTTGACAGTGAGGTTTGAAAAAAGAAAATAAGAGATTTTGAAAACGTAATAACTGAATTGGTGGTAACTACATAATAAGAGCAATGAACCTGCTCTAAAGTCTGTTGTGCATGTTGGAACATACCAGGTGTTTCTCTGAACAAGGAACTGGGGAACTTGGGAAATTCATTGAACTTGGGAACTTCACAGAATAAGAAACTTTTTTTTTTTTTTTGACAATAATCACTTGTGAAGTCTCTTGCAGAGCCAGAGGTATAACATGATCACAGTTGTTCGTTGTGAGAATGGTATTGTTTCTCTTGATCTGATGCAGAATTCCCTTGAGCTCTGCTGCTGAAATGGATGTAGTTGAAGTGACTTACTGTTTTGAAAAATCTGGCTGATGTCACTCTTATTTCATTTTGGCTAAACCTTTCTGGAGCTAGT